GACATGACCAGACTCTGCCAAGCCAACTCGGCAGCGCGATACTGATGATGGTGATGATGATGGTGACTGTTTTTGGTTTTAATTCACTATTATCATAATAACTATTGTTGTTATTGTTGTTATTGCTCTGACCCATCTGGGTTCTGCCTACAGGTGTGTTGCTTCAGGCTTTACTGAAGCACAGGGCGAGGTCTCTCAGACCCGACCTAAACTACACACACCCGTATACATGGAAGAGCTCCGAACTCGATTCAGTCAGAGAGTTCCGCGAGTTGTTATTGCTATTGCTACTGCTATGACTACTCGCATTACTATTTTTGGACTCTGCCGTCTTCAAGCCCGTCAACTCGTGCAGACTTACGCAGGCATGATGTAGCATCAGGAGCTCAGTCTGCTCAGGTCCGGGCAACTCGGGCAACGGATCGGCCTGCGTCTCCGGCCATGTGCCTGAGCGCTTGCGACCAAAAACCCCTGCGACACGAGCGACGGCTTCGCTAAGGCAAGGAAAAAGGACTGTGCCCTGGTTTTGAGACGTTGCACCAACAAGTCGACAAGTCAGTCCGTCGTTCATGGGGGCCTCCCCGACTTCAGAGAAGCTTCCTTTCGGGCGCCTTCGGCGTCCGGTCTCTTGGGTTTCTAGGCTGCGAAGAATGTCCTGTGCCTCGCCGTCCTTCACTACGTATTCGAGTCACTATGCGTCCATCGCAGCCCATCAGTCAGAAAAGAGTGCATCAAATGACAACGTGTTCAAACACAAGCCTCTAATCCGGATATCATGAAGCTTTAAAGCCCTGTACAAGCGTGCATCCCGCTGAGTCTAGAAAAGCGACTGTCAGCAATTCACAAGCTCTCCGACTTTCGGCGAGCTTCCTTTCTGGTGCCTTCGGCATCCGGTCTTTTGTGTGTTTTACGTCTGCGGGCTGACGCAGCCGGTGGAGAGGTTCCAAACGTGCGAGTCGCACCGGAAGATGAAGATCACCTTCGCCAAAACCCACGCGAGACCTCCGAACCCGCCCAGCATCATGAAGACCGGGACGGCACCGAAGATCACCAGGAAGATGATGTTACATCGTCGGACAGACTCGCCAGCATACCGTGCAAGTAGTGGCACTACGAATGCCGAGATCTGCAATCCCTTGCCACCTGCAGGGTCCAAGTCCAAGAACTGCCACAGTTCAACCTCCTAAGACGGTCCTAAGAGATGTCAAACATGTATGTGGGGCTATGGTAAACAGTGGACACGGGATGTGGGCTCGGCTCTAGTCGCCTGCAACAAGGAGTCCCACACCGATGGAGGCCAGCGCCTGCCAGCGAGCAAAGGTGTCCATTTGGCCGAAGGAGAGGGACAAGTAGGAGCTTTGCAGCCACAGCTGTAGCAAGTTCTCCAGCACGAGCTTCGTGCCGAGGAAGAATATGACTCTTCCCAAACTGCTTTGTGGTCCATTTGCTGGGAGTTCAGCAACCTCGGCACCGACAAATAAGGCAAGGCGACGGTCCTCAGAGTCGACCTCCTGGTGGAATACGCCCATCTGTTCCCTCCCTATGGGGCTGCAGATCACCAACGCGTAGACGGCTAACATTGCCGCCAAGCCGACGAGCCAGCCGAAGGATGCCCAAAGCATCACCAGGAGCACGAAGACCAGCGCCACAAAGGGAGCGAAGAGAGCCCAAACCGACAGCAGCTGTGGCAGGTAGGCGTTCGTAATGAACCTGGCATCCAAGGCTACCAGCCCTTCGGCAGAACAACTTAAGATCAAAGGCACCCAACACAAAGACTCGAAGCATCCTAACTGCAGGACCCAGACGCAGCATCAGTGCCACGCCGGAGAAGCCCAGCTTAGAGAGCATCGGAACCATGAGCCCTCCGCCGGGGACATCGTGCCAGGATTGCAGCCAGAGACTCGTGATTGAATCGCTGCAGGCAGCGGATGTGCCAGTGAAGAGCGCATCCGAGGCCATGTCAAAGTGCTCCAACGCTGCAAGGCCAAGCATGAAAACGAGTTTCGGAGTGCTTTTGTGGAGGTCCTTGCGTAAAGACCCTAGCATGGCACGGAAGATGCAGACGAAATGTACAGCAAAGAAGACTCCGTAGGTGATGTAAGCCAAGTTTGGTGGACCCTCCTCGCAGGTTGCTCCAAAACCCAGGCTGACCAGAGCGATGGGCATCACCACCCAGTAGAGCACTGCTGCCAAGACCAGGGCCGGATCCCTGCGGTCGACCTCAAGCTGCTATTGCTACTGCTGCTGCGGCTACATACAAGAGACATGGCTGAAGAAAGTCGAAAAGAATGGCCTCCCGGCGTTGGACGCGGTGGGGAAGCTCCTCCTCCTCTTCCTCCTCCTCCTTGTCCTCGTCCTCCTCTTCGTCCTCCTCCTCCTCCTCCTGCTCCTCCTCGTCCTGCTCCTTGAGTCGCTCGTAGTCCATCGAGTCAGTTGGCAAGATGTCCATAGCAAGGTAGATGTAGATCAGCAGCACCATGGTAGCACAAGGCCAGATGGCCTTCCAAGGCACCTTTGTCCCAGCCATCTCGGGGTTCTCCTCACAAAAAGGTAGCAGTCGCATCTCCGAAAAGCTTGCATTTCAGTCCCACTGAAGCCCCGCCAGCCTTGCCTGCTGGTCGAAGCTTGATGCAGAATCTCACCCCCAAGGCTCTCCACCCAAGCTTTGCGCGTCTCTGAGCCCTCAGCCTCTCTCTCTCTCTCGCTCTGTGGCCTCGCGGCTCGCTGTTCCTTCTGCCAACCTCCTGGTGGCCACCTGGAGAGCTGAAGCCAGCACTTTGGGTGACTCGGCGGTTTGCAACGTTGCCCATTCATGCGAACACTCGGTTTTCCTCAGTTTCCACCACGGAGAAGATGGACCTACTGCCTTTGCCTGGAGTCGTCAAACTCGAGATGCTGTATCACCAGAAGCCCCGGCACTG